ATTTTGAAGTTGGAGGAGAAAATGAGATGGGAGTTTTTAGACCTACCCTAACTGTCATGAACCGGAATGCACAGAGTTCACGCAGAGCTACACAAGACGAGCATTTGAGGTTAAAAAGTATATAAATTGTAATTTATTTTTTAGAAAATAACCGATCGTTTCGCTAGATAAGACCCTTCTTCATTGGCTGAGATCGTTTAGAGCCATTTGAAGCTGCATTTAAACTGCATTTTGGAAGTTCAAACTCGCGGGCACCACAGAAGTACACTATATGGAGAAAATTCCTGAAATGTTTTCCTCAAAAAACATAATTTCTTTACGACTGAAGAAAGAAAGACATGAGCATCTTGGATGACAAGGGGGTGAGTACATTATCTGTACATTTTTGTTCTGGAAGTGAACTACTCCTTTAATTACATAATTTTTTTATTTTTGAGTGAACTATCCCTTTAATGTGATGATTAAACATCAAAAAGGTTATAATTTGATTGAATAAATACAGGTGCATCTCAATAAATTAGAATGTGAAAACCAACGTCACTGCACCCGTTTACCAAGAAATTTTGGAGCACTTCATGCTTCCTTCTGCTGACCAGCTTTTTGAAGATGCTGATTTCATTTTCCAGCAGGATTTGGCACCTGCTCACACTGCCAAAAGCACCAAAAGTTGGTTAAATGACCATGGTGTTGGTGTGCTTGACTGGCCAGCAAACTCACCAGACCTGAACCCCATAGAGAGTCTATGGGGTATTGTCAAGAGGAAAATGAGAAACAAGAGACCAAAAAATGCAGATGAGCTGAAGGCCACTGTCAAAGAAACCTGGGCTTCCATACCACCTCAGTAGTGCCACAAACTGATCACCTCCATGCCGCGCCGAATTGAGGCAGTAATTAAAGTAAAAGGAGCCCCTACCAAGTATTGAGTGCATGTACAGTAAATGAACATACTTTTCAGAAGGCCAACAATTCACTAAAAAATTTTTTTTTATTGGTCTTATGGAGTATTCTAATTTGTTGAGATAGTGAGTTGGTGGGTTTTTGTTAAATGTGAGCCAAAATCATCACAATTAAAAGAACCAAAGACTTAAACTACTTCAGTCTGTGTGCACTGAATTTATTTAATACACGAGTTTCACAATTTGAGTTGAATTACTGAAATAAATGAACTTTTCCACGACATTCTAATTTATTGAGATGCACCTGTATGAGTTTCAAAGTCAGGTGCTGTGCCGCTTTGTCTACTGTGGTTACTCTGCAAACCGCTATATATTTCTGCTCTTCTGAAATCGCCACCTGCTTACCGAGAATGGATTTGCATTTTCAATAAGCCCGTCTTCTGTTTTTGTTCAAAATTTTACGGTCATTTTACATTTAATGTTACCATAGACGTTGCCCTACCCGCTCATATGGTACTCATTTTTTTTTTGTGCAGGTGTTAAATAAAGTCTTAAATTTGATTTAAAAAATCCCGTGGATACCCTGCAACTTTTTAAATATCATCATTTTAAATATTTTGCATTGAGTTTGAATGTAAATATGTATTCCAGCTTTCGCCGGTGGCTGTGTGGTGATGTCTACTGGGAATCCTTTGGGCCAGTGGGCTGTTAAGAACTGCACTCTGTTCAAAGCTGGCAGAATCTGTAAGAAACCCATCAAATCAATGGTCCAACCCACCCCAGATCCAGTTGAGCCCAATCTCAATGCTTCCTGTGCACCAGGATGGGTCTCAAAGGAAGGCCTAAAGTACTGTTACATGGTGTGTTCAGCTGGTATTCATCTAAAACAATAGAAGCTGAGTCAAGACAATGAAGCCATTTCTAGTTATATCTAATCAACATCTGTTTGAATGTGTCTGCAGGTGTTTCACGAGGAGCGTTTGACCAGGAAGCGCTCGTGGGAAGAGGCGGAGCGTTTCTGTGAGGCACTAGGGGGGCATTTGCCCAGCTTCACTGAGGCTAAAGATATGCAAGCGTTACATTACATCCTGAGAGACTCTATCAGGTACAGATAGGACAATTTTTAACTCCCATTATCATATTCCCCCACACACTAAACCAAGGGCAGTGGCATTTATTGACTTTTACTTGTGCTGTCTGTTTTCTCTGTACAGTGATAATCGTTTTTTCTGGGTGGGACTAAATCGCAGAAATCCAAATAACAACAATAACTGGGAGTGGAGTGATGGGCGTCCAGTGAGTCACTAGCATATGATGTTTTCTGAACAAATTAAAGACAAAATTGAGTTGTGATCGGAGCCATCATTTGCTCCTTTATTTCTTTGTTGACTAAAGCTAAAGTGTGAAATGTGTAGGTGTTATCATTTGTTTCTGCTGCTTGGTAACAGGTCTCCATGATGATCTTTCCTGAGGAATTCAATGAAGATGATGTCTATAACAGGGACTGCGTTGCCTTTAAGGTGTGGTAAACATGACTCTCAAAACATGCATGACCCCTGACCTCTCATAACATCACAAAACTGCATTATTATGCAATATTATCCTGACAAACAACAGAAGAAATGATACATGCTATTCTGGGTCCTCTCTAGTGAAACACATATTTACAAGTTAAAAACTTTACTTGGGTAGCTGTACATATTTCTTGATATTTTAAATCATTTTAATCTTTTACGGAGTGTCTATTTACACTAAGTGCAAATAGCCCGCCTTGTTGGTAGAGGCTATTTACACTAACTCCACCCACCAACGTGTGTTTGGGATAGTCAACACTGAAAAAAGACGCTTCTGAAACATCAGTCTCAGTGGCGTAGATGGTAAGGTGTGTGCTTTTGACGTGATTGACCCGAGTTCGAATCCGTCTTTTGCCGAACTTTTTTTCTCCGTTTTCAAATCTCATGTCACATCAGAAAGGCATTTATTTTCAATAAAAATGAAGGAAATAATCAAAAGGTTTAAAATAAAGTATCGGGTAGGGTTAGGGTAGGTGTAGGGAGGGCTTTGTTGTCCCAATAAGGCGGCATTCATTTAATAATTTGAATTAAAATTATAATTTACACTCAATACGTCATTATTGCGTACTGTTTTATAATGTACTACAATACTGAGGTGCAGATAATTGCCACTATTTGCAATAAGTAGTATAAATAGCAGAAAATCTTGCTATTTTAACATAGTGTAAATAGAATCCATTGCTATTTACACTTAGTGCAAATAGCCGCTGCCTTAATTTTATTTGACAGTAAGCACACAAAACAGACATAGATTCATTTGTCATTGAGCATTGCTATAAAACACTAAAATAACACAATGAATGTTATCTAAACAACCTAAAATGTAGTATTAAACACTATAATGTGCGTAACTGATCACAAAGATAAGAAACATAACTATTTAAATAAAATACATTGAAATATATTATGTCACAGATACTTTTACTGTTTCTCACTGTAAATTATAAGATGACTTACTATTTAATTTGACTTTTTACTGTTTCATTTTAACAACATTTTACTGTAAAAGTTACACTTCAGTTAAAAGTTAAAAGGTTTTACCATATTTGTTGATATAAATTACATTTACCTAACTAATAGGTTGTTACTGTAGTATTTTATTATTTTTTCATTAAAATGACAGACATTATAGCACAAATATGAAATTTTAGTATGACATAAAAACAGCATTATAGTTGGTGAATATACACTATTGTGCAAAAGTTTTAGGCCATTAGTATTTTTATTCACCAACAAAAATGGTTTTAAGTCAGTCTGTCTTTTGTGTATCTGTAGTGTGTAAGTAGGAAATATCAGTTTACATTTCCAAACATTCCTTTTGCACAGATATCTGATCTGATCATCATCAGTCTGTCTGGAATGACATGAAGAAACAGAACAAACTGAGACAGACTAAATCCAGAAGAACTGTGGCAACGTCTCCAAGACGCTTCAAGAAACCTACCTACAAAGCTCCCTGAAAAACTACTGTATACACAAGTGCACCGAGGGCAAAAGCTGCTTTAGACGCAAAGGATGCTCACACCAAATGTTGATTTGATTTAGTTAATAGAATCTATTTACAAAATAAAATCTATTTATGACATTATTTTTGAAAGCATCCTCACGTTACAGCATTTTTACACAAGTGCCTAAAACTTTTAACAGTACTGTAGCTTTGCAGGAAGATTTCTCTGTTTCTTCATGTCATTCCAGACAGACTGGATGATGATCAGATCTCTGTGTGGAGCACTAGCTGTCGTCAGACAAAAATCTCACTGGATTATTAAAAATTAATGGCTAAAGGAATGTTTGGAAATGTAAACTGATATTTCCTACTGACACACTACAGCAAAAGATAGAAATAACTGACTTAAAACCATTTTTGTTGGTGAAAATTCTAATGACCTAAGACTTTTGCACAGCAGTATTCAGTTTGTGTTTGATGCTTGTTTCATTCGGACATGTAAATGTTGGGATGGAGGCAGTAATTGACACAAAACAGCCTATCGCTGTTGGCAGCCAACAGCCAGTCAATAATCAGAAATCTAGAATGACCTTCATACGGCTTTTGCCTTCTGTTTGGGAGTAGGGAGAGATGGGAAATGAATCAGATCGATAGATTGTCATCAAACAGATTCAAAAACATATCAGAGGCATCAAACAGACAATATTAAGAATTTAGAATAGTAGATGTTACACAGTAGAAATCTAAGGCCTGTTTGAATTCAGGCAGCTTGTAATATTTTGTAATATTTTTTTTTTGTATCATCAGACTTTGAAAGGAACCTACAAGCCATTTCTCTTCCTCCTGTTTCATAATGTTCCTCCACGGCCTTTTTATCCCAGCGTCTTTCACTGCAACGCCAAACTGGAATGGGTGTGTCAGATACCACGAGGTAAACAACACTCAAGACAACAACACCCAAGACTAAGACTTTGTTTGTTTTCAAGTTTATGAATTTGAAAAGTTTCTTCCCCTTCAATTGTCTGTACTGTAAAAGAGCGACAAGTATGTTAAGAATTTCATTAAGTTCCATATATATATATTCATGGTCTTTGTATCATTCTCTAGGTCAAACACCAAAAACACCAGAGTGGTACAATCCAGGTAGAACTTTCATTTCGAATCAAATGCCCAAATACGTCATGGATTATGTAATTTTTTGGTTTGCAAATCAGTGACATGTTTCGTGTTTCACTACTAACAGATGGGCACCATAACACATCAGTGTTTATAGACGGCCAGGAGTTCTGGTTTGTAGCAGAGCCAAAGTTGTCCTTCGAGGAGGCCGTCTTGTACTGCAGCAGCAACAGCAGTAAACTCGCCGCACCCGACACCCTTAATGCCGCACGCCGCCTACAGGAACGACTTTTTGAGGTAAGAGGGTGCAGATGTTTTTATAAACCCTGAATTACCAGGGGGTTTGGGGAGGTCTGACTCCTTAAATTAAAGGCTGCATCTCCACAGAACGTCAAAACAGAGAGCTGGTGATGCCTTCAAATGAGGCCTACACATAGTGATAAGAAAATGCATAAAACACAAGTAAACCATAAAAAAAGCACATTTACTTTTTATTATGCATAGACAGAGCGCAAAATGTTACTGCCAGAAATATTAGGAATTTTCTTTTCTTTTGTTATTTAAAACGCAATTTAAAGCTATTTAAAACTAATACAACTTTTTAAATTATTTAAAAAGTAATACACTGCTGTTCATCAGTAAGATTTTTAAAGGGTTAGTTCACCCAAAAATGAAAATTAGCCTGTGTTTCACTCACCTTCAAAGCATCCTAGGTGTATGTGACTTTCTTCTTTCAGACGAATCCAATCGGAGTGATATTAAAAATTGTCCTGGCTATTCCAAGCCTTTCAATGGGTGTAAGCGGGTGCTTTTTGTCAACAGTCCAGAAGACGTGAAATAAAGTGCGCGCATCCGTAATAAAATGCATCCTGTCGTGAATCCATGCATTTTTTTAATATAAATATCCATATTTCAAACGTAATAAACACTTTTCTCTCCCTTCCGCTAGTTTTTTTTTTTTTTTTAACTCATCAGAAGAACAGAATTACTGTCACTAGTTTATCAATACAATTCTGAATAAATGTATTCATTTTTTTTTTTTTTTTTTAAATCTTACTGACCCCAAACTCCATTTTGAACAGTAGCAAATACTGTATGAATTAAGTTTGAATGATAAAACTTTTTTTTTTTATGTTCTTTTGGAAGTATTGTAAGAAACAACACCCATGCTCATAAATGGACATTGTTTGATCCACAATAAAGTGTCTGTCTGTTGGGAAATGGATAATACTAATATGAGTGAGTATATGGTTGTTCATATCATCCAGTAATGAATGTATTTTTAATGATCTTTAGCATTCAGAACAGGTGAATTTAAAGTGGTGGGCAGACCTTCGTTACCATGGTCCTCATGTTCCCTTTATGTAAGTTCTGGTTTTCATACCTTATCCAAACCTCATCAAGAGGCACAATTACTGGCATGAACCTCTCTTTTATTTATAATTTATTAGTATGTGTGTGTGTGTGTTTGCAGGCTCAGCCCCATGCACTACTATTATTCAGCGTTTCTGGGAAGGTGCCCCTCTATCACTCCCATGTCATTTGAACCTGGTATGAGAGTCTCATTGTGATTCCTTTCCACATCTTACAGAGTTTGTTTTGGGGCAGCTTGACATGTTGACAAGATGTTTCATGGTTAATTCAAATGACTTTCCTAGTCGTAGCACAATGGAAATTCCTGTGAATGTTGAAAGACCCATGAATCACTTGGGGAGCAGGATGCAACCTTTATGGGGTTTTTTTTTTCGGTAACACATTATTTTAAGGACCAATTCTCACTATTAACTAGTTGCTTATTAGCATGCATATTACTAGCATATTGGCTGTTTATTAGTACTTATTGTATAAAGCACATATTAATGACTTATTCTGCATGACTATATTTTAGATCCCTTAATCCCAACCAATACCTAAGCAGCAAATTAGGTAAACTCTTAGTTAATAGTAAATATGTGTTCCCTACTCTAAAGTGTTACCTTTTTCTACTAGCTGAACAAAGTGTCAGGTAGTGTTGTAGGCAAGACCACCTAAATTGAGACCAAGACCAGAGTGTGTTGACAGCAAGACAAGACCAAGGCTGCAGAGGTGGCACAGAAGTCGCATCCGAATGTTACAGCATAAATATTGTTGAGATTTTGAAAATAACATTTTGGATATAGAAATATGATGGAAAAATAAAATGCTTTTAAATATGAAACTAAAACCACCGGTTAGCTAGGTGGCAGCATATCACTTAATGAATAAGTCATGGAATCATTTATTTAGCCGATTCATTCGAATTCAGCAACGCAACACAGCTGTGTGTTGCTCGGAAACACACAACAGTTCTGCTGTGGATTTGTTTGGAACTATTTCCATTGCCAATAGACTTGTAATACTGTAATAAAATTCTTAAACAGAATTGGTCTTTGCTGTTTTAAATCGCTAAATTTTTTAACTACAGATAATTACTGTAACGCAACACAGCTGTGTGTTGCTCGGAAACACACAACAGTTCTGCTGTGGATTTGTTTGGAACTATTTCCATTGCCAATAGACTTGTGTTAAAAATAGTGTCTAAATGTAATACACTTACAATTAACTTCTTGTTGAATGTTTGAATAAAATCAATATCACATTGTGCTCAAGAAAACAGCTCTCTTGCTCTTGTGATACTGCTCAATTATATATGTTATAATATAAAAACGATCTTATACAAGTACTTTTTTGTAATCATATCTGACATTTTTTGGGCATTTGGATTAATTTTGGTGAATTTTTTATCAAAAGAAATCAAATTAGAAATAAGTTATTGATTGCATTTGAAGCAGTTTTACATCCAATCACAGTAATGATGTTAACAGATAAATCGGACAATGCACCAGAAATTTAGTGATATCCCTGCAGTTGTGGTCTTTAATGGTCTTGAAATAAAATTACGAGTCCTCTCAGTCTGAGACCAAGTCTGAGACAAGACCAAGACCTTCAAAAAACATCTCAGTCTCAAGTACTACAACACTAGTGTCAGTATAAATGTAATAAAACATTAAGACTTTTAGATGCTTTTAATGACAGGTTTCATAATGTTGCCTCAGTGAAGACAACCATTTTCTTCACTTTGCAAGGACATGATTATGATGATGCTCATACTGTAAGAATTTTGTAGCAGTTAGTGCCATTTACCTTAATATTTACTGTAATAAAATTCTTAAACAGAATTGGTCTTTGCTGTTTTAAATCGCTCAATTTTTTAACTACAGATAATTACTAACTTGTTTTCTTAATTAATTAATTTTGTTCCATTATTGCACCCAAATATAATTATCATTATCAAATGATGAGGTCTGTTTTGTAAAAGAAACAAGAATAAAGCATTTTTAGGCATTTGCTTTTATAATAGAGGATAAGAAAGACAAAGACACATTTGTTTTTATTTTATTTAAAAAAAATAACTTTTATAAGACTTTATAATTTGGAAAAATTCCCCTCTAAACTGACAGCAACAATTCTGATTTACAAAGCAACTCAGACGATCCTCTTTAATCTTTTTTTCTCCGTAGGTTTCAGCGGCAAATGTAATGAAAAACAGCCGTTTGTGTGCGAGACACTGAACGTCACTTCTGCGGAGAAAGGAAGCCCAGAACCGCCCCCTGCCAGCACCCCATGTGCGAGCACTTCCAGGCACTTCAGAAAGAAGGTCTGACATACACACGCAGCCAGTCACATCCTTTGAACTTGAAACATGTGTTTTTGGTTAATGACTTCATTGTATACATCTCTTGCAGTGCTATTGGGTTTTATCCCAGTCTTATTTCCAAACCTTCAAAGACGCCAATGAGTTCTGCAAGTCACTGACAGGCACTATGCTCACCATATCTGACCAAGTTGAACAGGGTGTGTTTGATTAATATACTATGAAAAAATCCACCACCGAGAACACATTTTAATATAAAACATATTTATTCATGCTTTTAGTACTCTTAGTAATGTTGCTTGACTCTCTCTCTCTCTATCTGTCTGTGCCGTGCATCTTTCCTCCATTTAGATTTCATCACTACAATGTTACCGGAGTTACCCGGACAGCCTCAGAAAGTCTGGATTGGCCTAAAGTTCAAACTTCATGACACTCAGTGGGTGGACAACTCGCCAGTTGCATATCTGAACTTCAATCCTCTCCTGCATGGCCAGTTACGACCCATATTCATCAATGCAAGTGTCCATCTGCTATGAAAGTTATATAATTGACCACAAAGATCTGGAGATCTGATCAAAGCACTTGAGAAATACTCAAAAAATATTTTGTGCAGCATTTGTGGCATGCTATAGATTGTACAGAGAATAGTTTTGTTCCTCACATGTTTACAATAACTTGCAATACAATAACACACACACACTAGTTTAACCACAAATAAAGGCTCTGCCATTGATCAAATTGAGCAAATTGATCAAAATGTGACAGTAAAGATGTTTGTAACGTTACAAAAGATTTCAGTTTCAAATAAATTATGTTCTTTTGAACTGATCAAAGAATTCTAACAAAAATCACAGTTTCCACAAAAATATTAACCATCGCATTTAAAGCGGCATGACCAGATCATGTGACACTAAAGACTGGAGTGATGGCTCCATATAACTGATTTAGTATACTAAACTGGTATATTTACAGTCTGCTAAATTGGAACAACTAATTTTGTGTTTAATGCACTTTAATTGTGTGGAAGTAGTGCTGAGGTCCAACTAAAGACATACTGAAGTATATTTGATTGTGCTAAAGTGGAACTATTGTGAGTATACTTCAGGTACACTTGAAATATCTTGCATTTAAAGACTGATATTATTCAAAGATCATACAATCCTCAAACCCATTTTAGACTTAATGTTAACCCATCAGACACACAACGTCATAAGACGTTGATATTTGATTACATTTTGGTTTGCGACGTCGGGTGACCAAAATTCAATGTCAATTCAACATCTAATTTTACGAACACGGTTAATTTTTTGTCCGATACCAATGTCAGCTGACTTTGATATTTTGTTGTTTTTAGATTGTGTAACCAAAATCCAACATTGACTCAACCCGATTTGATTCTCAACCAAAATGCAGTGTCTGTCTGACGTTGGGGTCCAACGTCAACCTGATGTTATTTTGACGTCCGGTGCCTGCTGGGAAGAAATGTGCATTGTGCACAAGTAGTACTCCAAATTATCATTTTTATATTAGTAGTCTCGATTGATATGGCAGTAAATATGGTAATAGATTTGAACTATACTTAGTATGAAATAAATGTATTTTAAATATATTACTTTTTTACTGGTAAAGGCCTTGACTTGTTTCAAAAACATTAAACAATCTCACTAACTCCAGACTTTTGAATGGTGGTGTAAATAATAAGAGCACCATAATATTGATCCATCCGACTCAGAATTGTCTTCTGAAGTCGTGCAGTAACTTAAAAACCAACATAAAAGTGCATTTTTGGAGCTTGACAGCCTCTGCCTTCATTCATTTTCATCATATGGAAAAGAGCATCATGAACATTCCTCAAAACATCTCCTTATTTTCTTGATGAAAGCACAAAAGTCATACGTGTCGTATAAGTTTTCGTTTTCAATTGTGGGAAACTTTTTTTCTTCTTTTTTCAGTTTTGATTTCATCTCCCATACGCCGTATCTGGTGTTCAGATGGCTTTACGTATAATTGCATAAGCTGTACATTAAGTACATTTTCTTCTCATCATGATACACTTAATCTGAGAGTTTCTCTTTTTCCTCTTGATTTGCACGGCAGACGTTTGAACAGGACTCCATGGAGCTCTGTGCCTACATGTATAATGATGATCATTCTGACATGATGGGCACCTGGGACTACACCACCTGCTCCGACCGCCAGAATCTCAGCATCTGCCAGCATCTTGCAGGTACGAGCCACCAGCGATTGTCTCAATCATGTTATATGAAATAGTGTTCTGTTTGTTTAACACCCAATTGACAATTTCCCCAGATGAACAAAAGGAACCTGAGCATAAGGATGATTTCACGGTTCATAATCATACATTTAAGGTGGTACAGCAAGGCAATTTAACATGGATAGAGGCTCTTCAGTTGTGCCGGAGCTACAATATGGACTTGGCCAGCGTACCTGACGCATATGTCCAAGCAGTGCTCACAGTTGAAGTCTCTCGAAGAGGACAGCCCCTCTGGATTGGACTCTTCAGTGAAGATGTGAGTGAAGATCTATTTAAAAGTTGGCGGTCTATAACATTTTTTTATGTTTTTGAAAGAAGCCACCGAGGCTGCATTTATTTATGCAAAAATGCCATAAAAACGGTAATATTGTGAAATATTATTACAATTTAAAAAAAAAATTTCTATTAGAATTGTAAAATGTAATTTATTAAGGTTAATTTTCAGCAGCCATTCTCCAATCAACATTTAAAATTTTTATAAAAAAAAAAAAAAAAAAAATGACAAGCCCTTTAGTATATAAAATAGTGGGGGGAAAATGTGCTAGTCAAACAAAAGAAAAATATTCCCGTGATCTTTAAATGAACTGCAAAATAAAAGTATAAAATATTACATTTTTGTAAGCTTTTATTTGATCAATAAATCAATTAGTAAAATATTATTACAATTTAAAATAACTGTTTTCTATTTTAAAAAATTTAATGTAATTTTTCATGATTCTTTGATGATTGAAAAGTTCAATAAAACAACATTTAAAGTAACTGTTTTCTATTGTAAATAATATATTTTAAAATATCATTTGTTCCTGTGGTACAAAGCTGAATTTTCAGCTTTATTACTTCAGTCTCACATGATCCTTCAGAAATCATTCTAATATGCTGATTTGATGTACAAGTAAAATATACAGTAGTATTATTATCAATGTTGAAAAAAGTTGTGCTGCTGCTTATTATTTTTGTGGAAACCATGATACATTTTTCCAAGATTCTTTGATGAATAGAACATTCAAAAGAACAGAATTTATTGATTACATACTGTAACAGTTTAATGTCATGACCATCCCTATTTATTACTATTATTATTATTAATTTATTTATTTTTTATCAAGGAAGGGGAGCACTACCACTGGACAGACCACAGCCACACTGAGTTCAACCGCTGGACCTCTGAAGCCACCAAAGGAGCCTGTGTGTATCTGGACACTGACGGTTTCTGGAAGGCAACCGAGTGTGAGGATGAGCTTTCAGGAGTGATCTGCCACATCCCACACAGTGAGGATTCAATTCATAAATGCCACCTCTGCTTTTCAATATTTACTTGCACAGGTTTTGCTTTAAAAATGCATTTTTTCATAACAGATGAGACCGTCACACCTGAAGTAGATTCGGCCAAATGTCCTCACAAAAGCAATGGACAGAACTGGATCCGCTTTAAGGAGAACTGCTACACGTTACTGCTGGGGGCCTCCAGATGGGGCAACAACGACATCATTGATCAGCAGATCTGCATGTCTCTTGGTGTGAATGGATCATATCTGGGACTTTTTTTTTTATGTTGTTCATGTTTCTTTTTTGTGTCTTTTCAAAGTTTCAATTCCGTGGTCGAAGATGTTGTAAAAATGCCTATGTTTAATGATTTTAACAAAAGCACTGTCAGCAGAGCCGTCAAGTTTTTTTTTTTTTTTTATGTTTGGAAGCATGCTCTTGAAGGGTTGCCATGTCCACTTATTATAAGTGACGCTTATTAAGCGTCTTTGGGTTTGTTTTTTGGCCTCGGCTTATAAACAATCCATTTTATAGAGATAATAGTGTAGGCAGGTGCAGGTAACAATATTTTGGTATGTAGCTTATTTCCAAGGTAACATAGGCTTGTTCTCATTTGCTGGTTTTTATAGCAAGATTTGGCAACACTGAGTCAAGACGCACCTCCTTCCCTGTGATTTCTTACACCAAAACTCTGCAATGCGTTTAAATATGTCATTAACAACTAGATGTTTAGTTTGTTTCTGTGCACACTGTGTACAATTTCTGCAAAGAGATTGTCACTTTTTGGGAGTCAGTAATTTACTGGAGTACATGTGTGTACAGAACAAGATTAAGCACTAAAAGGTGAATTGACAACTGAATTTAGCTGCAGTGTGCACATGGCCATTGTTTTATGGTAATCTTGTCTGTGTGTTTTAGCCGGGGCCGGAGAAATCCTGACAATCCGTGATGAGGCAGAGAACGATTTCATCAGGCAACAGTTACAGCCATTCAAAAATTTAGTCAGGTTTGTGTGGCTGGGAATGAACAAAAACAAGACAGGTAAGATGATCACATCCCAAAGTTCTATCAGTCTAAACCAGGGCTAGTCAACTCCGGTCCTGGAGGGCCAGGGATCTGCATAGTTTACTTCCAACCCTTATCCAACACACCTGTTCATCATTTTTTAAATAGTCCTGAATACTTTGATTAGCTTGATCAGGTGTATAGTGTCTAAATGTAATACACTTACAATTAACTTCTTGTTGAATGTTTGAATAAAATCAATATCACATTGTGCTCAAGAAAACAGCTCTCTTGCTCTTGTGATACTGCTCAATTATATATGTTATAATATAAAAACGATCTTATACAAGTACTTTTTTGTAATCATATCTGACATTTTTTGGGCATTTGGATTAATTTTGGTGAATTTTTTATCAAAAGAAATCAAATTAGAAATAAGTTATTGATTGCATTTGAAGCAGTTTTACATCCAATCACAGTAATGATGTTAACAGATAAATCGGACAATGCACCAGAAATTTAGTGATATCCCTGCAGTTGTGGTCTTTAATGGTCTTGAAATAAAATTACGAGTCCTCTCAGTCTGAGACCAAGTCTGAGACAAGACCAAGACCTTCAAAAAACATCTCAGTCTCAAGTACTACAACACTAGTGTCAGTATAAATGTAATAAAACATTAAGACTTTTAGATGCTTTTAATGACAGGTTTCATAATGTTGCCTCAGTGAAGACAACCATTTTCTTCACTTTGCAAGGACATGATTATGATGATGCTCATACTGTAAGAATTTTGTAGCAGTTAGTGCCATTTACCTTAATATTTACTGTAATAAAATTCTTAAACAGAATTGGTCTTTGCTGTTTTAAATCGCTCAATTTTTTAACTACAGATAATTACTAACTTGTTTTCTTAATTAATTAATTTTGTTCCATTATTGCACCCAAATATAATTATCATTATCAAATGATGAGGTCTGTTTTGTAAAAGAAACAAGAATAAAGCATTTTTAGGCATTTGCTTTTATAATAGAGGATAAGAAAGACAAAGACACATTTGTTTTTATTTTATTTAAAAAAAATAACTTTTATAAGACTTTATAATTTGGAAAAATTCCCCTCTAAACTGACAGCAACAATTCTGATTTACAAAGCAACTCAGACGATCCTCTTTAATCTTTTTTTCTCCGTAGGTTTCAGCGGCAAATGTAATGAAAAACAGCCGTTTGTGTGCGAGACACTGAACGTCACTTCTGCGGAGAAAGGAAGCCCAGAACCGCCCCCTGCCAGCACCCCATGTGCGAGCACTTCCAGGCACTTCAGAAAGAAGGTCTGACATACACACGCAGCCAGTCACATCCTTTGAACTTGAAACATGTGTTTTTGGTTAATGACTTCATTGTATACATCTCTTGCAGTGCTATTGGGTTTTATCCCAGTCTTATTTCCAAACCTTCAAAGACGCCAATGAGTTCTGCAAGTCACTGACAGGCACTATGCTCACCATATCTGACCAAGTTGAACAGGGTGTGTTTGATTAATATACTATGAAAAAATCCACCACCGAGAACACATTTTAATATAAAACATATTTATTCATGCTTTTAGTACTCTTAGTAATGTTGCTTGACTCTCTCTCTCTCTATCTGTCTGTGCCGTGCATCTTTCCTCCATTTAGATTTCATCACTACAATGTTACCGGAGTTACCCGGACAGCCTCAGAAAGTCTGGATTGGCCTAAAGTTCAAACTTCATGACACTCAGTGGGTGGACAACTCGCCAGTTGCATATCTGAACTTCAATCCTCTCCTGCATGGCCAGTTACGACCCATATTCATCAATGCAAGTGTCCATCTGCTATGAAAGTTATATAATTGACCACAAAGATCTGGAGATCTGATCAAAGCACTTGAGAAATACTCAAAAAATATTTTGTGCAGCATTTGTGGCATGCTATAGATTGTACAGAGAATAGTTTTGTTCCTCACATGTTTACAATAACTTGCAATACAATAACACACACACACTAGTTTAACCACAAATAAAGGCTCTGCCATTGATCAAATTGAGCAAATTGATCAAAATGTGACAGTAAAGATGTTTGTAACGTTACAAAAGATTTCAGTTTCAAATAAATTATGTTCTTTTGAACTGATCAAAGAATTCTAACAAAAATCACAGTTTCCACAAAAATATTAACCATCGCATTTAAAGCGGCATGACCAGATCATGTGACACTAAAGACTGGAGTGATGGCTCCATATAACTGATTTAGTATACTAAACTGGTATATTTACAGTCTGCTAAATTGGAACAACTAATTTTGTGTTTAATGCACTTTAATTGTGTGGAAGTAGTGCTGAGGTCCAACTAAAGACATACTGAAGTATATTTGATTGTGCTAAAGTGGAACTATTGTGAGTATACTTCAGGTACACTTGAAATATCTTGCATTTAAAGACTGATATTATTCAAAGATCATACAATCCTCAAACCCATTTTAGACTTAATGTTAACCCATCAGACACACAACGTCATAAGACGTTGATATTTGATTACATTTTGGTTTGCGACGTCGGGTGACCAAAATTCAATGTCAATTCAACATCTAATTTTACGAACACGGTTAATTTTTTGTCCGATACCAATGTCAGCTGACTTTGATATTTTGTTGTTTTTAGATTGTGTAACCAAAATCCAACATTGACTCAACCCGATTTGATTCTCAACCAAAATGCAGTGTCTGTCTGACGTTGGGGTCCAACGTCAACCTGATGTTATTTTGACGTCCGGTGCCTGCTGGGAAGAAATGTGCATTGTGCACAAGTAGTACTCCAAATTATCATTTTTATATTAGTAGTCTCGATTGATATGGCAGTAAATATGGTAATAGATTTGAACTATACTTAGTATGAAATAAATGTATTTTAAATATATTACTTTTTTACTGGTAAAGGCCTTGACTTGTTTCAAAAACATTAAACAATCTCACTAACTCCAGACTTTTGAATGGTGGTGTAAATAATAAGAGCACCATAATATTGATCCATCCGACTCAGAATTGTCTTCTGAAGTCGTGCAGTAACTTAAAAACCAACATAAAAGTGCATTTTTGGAGCTTGACAGCCTCTGCCTTCATTCATTTTCATCATATGGAAAAGAGCATCATGAACATTCCTCAAAACATCTCCTTATTTTCTTGATGAAAGCACAAAAGTCATACGTGTCGTATAAGTTTTCGTTTTCAATTGTGGGAAACTTTTTTTCTTCTTTTTTCAGTTTTGATTTCATCTCCCATACGCCGTATCTGGTGTTCAGATGGCTTTACGTATAATTGCATAAGCTGTACATTAAGTACATTTTCTTCTCATCATGATACACTTAATCTGAGAGTTTCTCTTTTTCCTCTTGATTTGCACGGCAGACGTTTGAACAGGACTCCATGGAGCTCTGTGCCTACATGTATAATGATGATCATTCTGACATGATGGGCACCTGGGACTACACCACCTGCTCCGACCGCCAGAATCTCAGCATCTGCCAGCATCTTGCAGGTACGAGCCACCAGCGATTGTCTCAATCATGTTATATGAAATAGTGTTCTGTTTGTTTAACACCCAATTGACAATTTCCCCAGATGAACAAAAGGAACCTGAGCATAAGGATGATTTCACGGTTCATAATCATACATTTAAGGTGGTACAGCAAGGCAATTTAACATGGATAGAGGCTCTTCAGTTGTGCCGGAGCTACAATATGGACTTGGCCAGCGTACCTGACGCATATGTCCAAGCAGTGCTCACAGTTGAAGTCTCTCGAAGAGGACAGCCCCTCTGGATTGGACTCTTCAGTGAAGATGTGAGTGAAGATCTATTTAAAAGTTGGCGGTCTATAACATTTTTTTATGTTTTTGAAAGAAGCCACCGAGGCTGCATTTATTTATGCAAAAATGCCATAAAAACGGTAATATTGTGAAATATTATTACAATTTAAAAAAAAAATTTCTATTAGAATTGTAAAATGTAATTTATTAAGGTTAATTTTCAGCAGCCATTCTCCAATCAACATTTAAAATTTTTATAAAAAAAAAAAAAAAAAAAATGACAAGCCCTTTAGTATATAAAATAGTGGGGGGAAAATGTGCTAGTCAAACAAAAGAAAAATATTCCCGTGATCTTTAAATGAACTGCAAAATAAAAGTATAAAATATTACATTTTTGTAAGCTTTTATTTGATCAATAAATCAATTAGTAAAATATTATTACAATTTAAAATAACTGTTTTCTATTTTAAAAAATTTAATGTAATTTTTCATGATTCTTTGATGATTGAAAAGTTCAATAAAACAACATTTAAAGTAACTGTTTTCTATTGTAAATAATATATTTTAAAATATCATTTGTTCCTGTGGTACAAAGCTGAATTTTCAGCTTTATTACTTCAGTCTCACATGATCCTTCAGAAATCATTCTAATATGCTGATTTGATGTACAAGTAAAATATACAGTAGTATTATTATCAATGTTGAAAAAAGTTGTGCTGCTGCTTATTATTTTTGTGGAAACCATGATACATTTTTCCAAGATTCTTTGATGAATAGAACATTCAAAAGAACAGAATTTATTGATTACATACTGTAACAGTTTAATGTCATGACCATCCCTATTTATTACTATTATTATTATTAATTTATTTATTTTTTATCAAGGAAGGGGAGCACTACCACTGGACAGACCACAGCCACACTGAGTTCAACCGCTGGACCTCTGAAGCCACCAAAGGAGCCTGTGTGTATCTGGACACTGACGGTTTCTGGAAGGCAACCGAGTGTGAGGATGAGCTTTCAGGAGTGATCTGCCACATCCCACACAGTGAGGATTCAATTCATAAATGCCACCTCTGCTTTTCAATATTTACTTGCACAGGTTTTGCTTTAAAAATGCATTTTTTCATAACAGATGAGACCGTCACACCTGAAGTAGATTCGGCCAAATGTCCTCACAAAAGCAATGGACAGAACTGGATCCGCTTTAAGGAGAACTGCTACACGTTACTGCTGGGGGCCTCCAGATGGGGCAACAACGACATCATTGATCAGCAGATCTGCATGTCTCTTGGTGTGAATGGATCATATCTGGGACTTTTTTTTTTATGTTGTTCATGTTTCTTTTTTGTGTCTTTTCAAAGTTTCAATTCCGTGGTCGAAGATGTTGTAAAAATGCCTATGTTTAATGATTTTAACAAAAGCACTGTCAGCAGAGCCGTCAAGTTTTTTTTTTTTTTTTATGTTTGGAAGCATGCTCTTGAAGGGTTGCCATGTCCACTTATTATAAGTGACGCTTATTAAGCGTCTTTGGGTTTGTTTTTTGGCCTCGGCTTATAAACAATCCATTTTATAGAGATAATAGTGTAGGCAGGTGCAGGTAACAATATTTTGGTATGTAGCTTATTTCCAAGGTAACATAGGCTTGTTCTCATTTGCTGGTTTTTATAGCAAGATTTGGCAACACTGAGTCAAGACGCACCTCCTTCCCTGTGATTTCTTACACCAAAACTCTGCAATGCGTTTAAATATGTCATTAACAACTAGATGTTTAGTTTGTTTCTGTGCACACTGTGTACAATTTCTGCAAAGAGATTGTCACTTTTTGGGAGTCAGTAATTTACTGGAGTACATGTGTGTACAGAACAAGATTAAGCACTAAAAGGTGAATTGACAACTGAATTTAGCTGCAGTGTGCACATGGCCATTGTTTTATGGTAATCTTGTCTGTGTGTTTTAGCCGGGGCCGGAGAAATCCTGACAATCCGTGATGAGGCAGAGAACGATTTCATCAGGCAACAGTTACAGCCATTCAAAAATTTAGTCAGGTTTGTGTGGCTGGGAATGAACAAAAACAAGACAGGTAAGATGATCACATCCCAAAGTTCTATCAGTCTAAACCAGGGCTAGTCAACTCCGGTCCTGGAGGGCCAGGGATCTGCATAGTTTACTTCCAACCCTTATCCAACACACCTGTTCATCATTTTTTAAATAGTCCTGAATACTTTGATTAGCTTGATCAGGTGTGTTTGATTAGGGTTGGAACTAAACTCTGCAGGACACCGGCCCTCCAGGAGCCGAGTTGAAAAGCCCTGGTCTAAACATTCACAATTTTACACCAAATGTTTCCAGGTTAAGGCTGTAATACACTACATGGCTTTTAAAATCTGATGAGAATTTAAAACACTAGGTTATCAAACACTTGCCGACTTTGTAAATGGTAAGAGAGAAAAAATGGGCATCATACACTAAACGAGAACACACGACCAGACTTTCAAGACGTTCCGAACACAACAAACTCTAACTCTAAATATCAAACATGATTGATTTCTTCCAGTTGGATGGATTCTAAAAAATCAGAGTCACGGAAAATGTGATTTTCTGTGAAATCTGTCAACTCCTACTGACCACAATCTGAAGACTGGATCTGACTTTCGGCAACTAGTGTTGACTTCTCAAGATTGTAACCTGGAGCAAAAAAATTGGCCAAAAGTCATGTAGTGTTTTCCAGCATTTATGTGGAAAATTGGGTAGGAAAGTATCAACTAGCTGTTCATTTTTGTCCTGTATGATGTGTTTGCTTTAGATGAGCAGCTGAAGTGGCTAGATGGCAGCAATGTGCAGTTCTCTAACTGGAAATATGGTCTAAGACCAAACCTCACAGAGTCCTTCATAGTTGGTCTCAACTTAATCGGAGAGTGGGAAATGATAACAAATCAACGTCTTTTCAATGCCTTCAAACAGAGGAGTATTGTGGTGTGCAAGATTGAAAATGGTAAAGCAACACCAATGAGTTTCAGTTTTCATATGTTTTTACCAAAAATATGTTTTTATTTAGCATTAAACTGCAAAATAAGTAATTGATATGACATGAAAGAAGTCTTAAAACTTATTTTCTATTTTTATCATTAGTATGCATGTTGTTTTTATGACCTCAACTGAATTAAAATAAATGCAGCTGTTTGTAATAAAGAGGCAACTATTGTATATAATTTATTTATTATAAAATGTATATTCCATATAAAGACGTGAAGATTCAATTTTATTTATAGACTTGCAAAAATGTCTTTAACAGATACCAAAGAGGAGTTCATGAAGGGTGTGGTTGATGTTAATACTCCGGATGGCATAAGTTACCGTCGGGTGGCCAAGAGAATGGATTGGTATCAGGCACTGCAAGAGTGTGGACGCAACAGAGGCCATCTTGCCAGCATTCCTGACAAAACCACTAATGACAACATGGCACTGGTCGCCAAACGGGATGGCTTTTCACTCTGGATTGGCCTCTCCAAACAAGATGTACACAATTTTTTTGTGATAATAGTAATAACTGACAGCAATTAATAGCTGTACGCTCAGTCTTTTGCTCTCAGTTGTTGCCATTGTCATGTACTTTGTCTGGCTGTTTCTTTAGGTAAGTGGATGGCCATTTGAGTGGTCAGATGGGAGTGCAGTAAAATTCAAACCAGATGGATTTGTCAACGACGGCCTTGATTCTGAGGAAAAGTGTGTGTTTGTGGACTCCAAAGGCACCTGGATGGCCGTCAACTGTCATGCAGCCCAAGAAGGGGCCATCTGTTACAACCACATCAGTGAGAGTAAGGGGCCGTTTACACAACATTTTCAGCCAAAAATGGGAAACTTTTTATGCGTTTTGCCTGTTCATTTACATGACAACGGCGTTTTGGGGACTGAAAACGCATATTTCGGTTTCAAAGTGCACGTTTTTGAAAACGCCACCGTTATCGTTTCCGTGTAAACACCCAATACAGGAATCTTTGAAAACGGTGGCGTCATGCGCGTGCGTAGTACGTAGTACGTGTTGGGTATGTAGACATGCGCAGTATGTGGTGATTTTAAAGGCAAGCGCGATAAAAAATACACAGCAATGGCGGAGTACATGGTACTGTTGTTGCTGCTCAAGAGTTGCTAACGCTTCTTCAGTAAAGTGTGGATTTACTTCACCAATATTACAACCAACAGCGGAGATGCATCATATACAACATATAATCGTCACTTCCCTAATGGTACTGTGTACTAACAAGGTGACAGCGCCAACTACTGGCCTGGCATACGTAATACAGCGTTTCTGGCCGTTTTCGCGGATATGTGTAAACACTAATCGTTTTGAAAACGTTTTAAAAACGCAAGGGAAAAACTTTTTTGTTTTTGACTACATCGTTGTCGTGTGAACGTAGCCCCGACAAGCACGCAATGACGTAACACAACTGTTGTTCTGAAAAGATCAGTTTCAAAATGGTTTCGTTTTTTTTTCCCCAGAAACTGTTGCACATCTCTCTTCTGAATCCAGCAGCAGTTGTCCCAAGAGTGATGATCACTTTTCATGGGTCCTGTTCAAAGATCACTGCTATGCTTTCAACATGTACAACTACTCTGTCTTTACCATGGAGAGCGCCAAGAACGTGTGTCAGAATCTGGGTGAGTGTATATATCCTGTATTGCTGTGTCTTTAACAAGTTTCACTTCGTATCACAACCAATTTGCAGCTTTTTCTGGTCAGGAAGAGACAATACACATGCAGCCAACCTCAATGATAAAACATTCAAATGCTAGTGCAAAAGTTTCACCGTCTGTGCAAAAAGCAGCAGATGGTTTCCTTTCTAAACTGTTCTAGGACCAGTTTCTCAAATCCAAACCCATAATCACTAGAAACTGTTAATTTTGTTAACAAAAACTATGACGAAAAATGTCCGTTGATGAGCTTTTTTCCCATGACTAAAACGAGACGATGACGAGACGACCATAAGGTCAATAAACAATAACTGTGACTGTATCAACATGCAATATCGTTGACGATAAAAGATGTATTTTGAAAAATAAAAACAATACCAAAATGTATTTTCGGCCAAAAAAAGGAGACAAAATATTACTGCACCCTGCTGTACACGCCTCTCCTACTCAAGCTTTCATGTGTTTGGTTGCCAGTTCAAATCCCCAAATCAGAGATTCGTAGAAAGAAAAAAAAAAGTTTTCTGCCCAGTGTTTTGCTTAATTTTTGCAATCTGGCAACCACACACACACGCTTGCTCTTTATAAGAAGCGTCGACGATGATCTGAAAACACTGAAAAACATGCTGGAGTTTAGCGATCTCCATGTGAGATGTTCAGCTTAAATGAAGGTGTCATTCAGCGAGTCTGTGTTCTGTCATGAGATCTCGATTATATTGTTTGCGATTGTGGTTGGCGGATAAATACTCAACCGCTGTTGTTTTAATAGAGAAACATCACTGCAATTTGGAATTATTGGAATTACTATTAGGAATTTCACTGTTATAGTATTTTATTGTTGTTGTTTGTGTGTTTTACTAGTTTTCATAATGTAGACGGAGAGAGTGCATAAGTCTTTGATATTAATTTATATAATATATAGCCTATAATAAATCAGCACAATAGATGAGGTAAAATAAACCATCTGTGAGTCCACATTCTATTGATTTGTGCTTATTGTTAAAAGTGCAATACCTGAAATGTAAAAATAAATTTCTCAAATGACAACAATTATTGTGATTATAATTTGGAGCAGAAAATATATATATATTAGTTTAACCATTATACAGCATGATGAAAATGTGACTAAGTTTCCACTGACCAAAACTAGACTAAAATGCTCAGACATTTAGTTGACTAAAACTTTACTAAACTAAACCAGGACAAGGTTGACTAAGTAGGATAACAACAAAAAAGTACATTTGACACAGGACTAAGAATAATTTAAAAGACTAAATTAAAAATGGCTGACAAAATTAACACTGCTATACACCATCCAAAATCAACCTGAAAGTGTCTAACAACATCTTGTATTTCTCCTGTATAACTGGCAGATTCTTCCTCCAAGCTGTTAACCATCAAGAGTAAAGAGGAGAATGATTTTGTCTCTGACTACATGAATAAGAACCCTTCCATCACAAGCCGAGTGTGGCTGGCGCTCAACGTTGACGCCAATGGTGAAACAATGATTTCATCTGCCTTCAATCACACTGTTTCCTTTTGTAAGAGTTGAAGAGTTATGTAATGTAAAAAGTAAATGTAAATCTTTATAAATCTCTGCAACAGGTGAGCCCACAGGTTGGCACGATGGCAGTGAACTGGACTTCTCTAGCTGGGATGCAAATTCAGGCCCACAATTATCACGGCAGATGCCGCAGATCTGCGCAGTCATGGTGTCCAGCAACGGCTCCTGGACCCACACAAGCTGCTTGAACAGCCGCAGCCGAATCGTCTGCAAAGCACCTGCCCGTGAGTCCCCGACATTTCTCACCTTTTTAGACAAGTTTATGAAATAAACTGACGTATAATGTAAAAAGACAGTATAAGTCATTATAATCAGTAATTATGTCCCCACTGGATGCAACAAATGCCTCGTTTGTAATGGGTTTTATTGGTTTTGTCTCGTCTAGTGATGTCCGGATTGCGAACGAATCGTTCTATTTAACCGGATCTTCTTAGTGAACCGGTCGAACCAGTTCACCAAATCGAACTGAATCATTTGAAACGGTTCGCGTCTCCAGTGTGCACTAATCCACAAATTACTTAAGTTATTCGTTTTATAAACCTGATTTTCACTGGCCACAATTTTGTTGTTGGGAAATTACGTTTTATGTGACTGAAGTTACTGCATACTAAAATTTTCCTGCATATTAAAATTTCCAGGTCATTTTTGCCCATTTAAAGGCCATTTTTCCTCAGCCGTATTAAATGCATGCGTCATCTTTCATATCAAATTCTTACATTTTATTAATAATTTCACTTAATATAATAAGACACAATAGGGTTGTTACCAATCAAATAAAATCAGTATTAAAGGGGTCATATGATGCGATTTAAATTTTTCCTTTCTCTTTGGAGTGTTACAAGCTCTTGGTGCATAAAGAAGATCTGTAAAGTTGCAAAGACTAAAGTCTCAAATCCAAAGAGATATTCTTTATAAAAGTTAAGAGTCATCCACGCCCTCCTAAAACGCCTCGTT